CGCCCGGTCCGCCGCCGCCGCCGGGCTGGGAGCGGTGCTGCCGCCCGGGGCACGGCACGGCCGAGGGGGGGGCTACACCGGGGGCTGCCCCAGGGCCGGGAGCAGCACCGGGAGAAGAGCAGCCGAGCCCCGGCACCGGCTCCTGCTGCCAATTCCCGGGTGGGCAGGGGCTGGGGAAGGGGCCGGGGGCACCCAGGGGTGCCCGGGGCGGTCGGGGCGCCCTGCCCGGCTGCAACCCACGCCTGGCGGGCAGCGTGTGGCTGTGACCCCCACCCTACCCGGGCTGCACCACGGGGGAAAGAGGGGTTCTGCCTTGCCCCGCGTCGTGGGGGTCCCGGGACCGTCCCACGCCGGTGCCAGGGGTGATGGCACCGGGGCTGCGCTAGCCCCCATGGCCGCCCCTCGCCTGGCAGCCCTGCAGCCACACGCTGGGCTCGGCCCCGAGGCCACTGGCCGCCCGGGCACTGCCCTCTGCCCCCTGTCCCGGCCAGCATGACGTTGTGCCGGAGCTCGACTGGCCCAGGGCCAGCGCCTGTTCCTGCCACCGGCCAGGCCTGCAGCCTGCAGCCAGCGTGCCGTGCCCTGCCAGGCCGTGCTGTGCCCTGCCTTTGCCGTGCCATACCTGGCAGTGCCATGCCATGCCCTGCCACGCCATGCCATGTCACGCCGTGCCCTGCCGTGCCATGCCTTGTCCTGCTCTGCCATGCCCGGCTCCCGGAGCCGTGCCACGCTGCACGCCTGCTCCCGGAGCCGTGCCATGCCGTGCCGTGTCCCGGCCGGCGTGGAGTGCAGCGTGCCGCCACATGCGCCTGTAATCGGAGCCATGCGGAGACAAAGAGGCAGCAGAGCCGACAGGGAATGCCCAGCCAGGGCCTCTGCCAGCGAGGGGTCTCCGTTCCCCCCTCGGCCCCCCAGCGCCGGGCAGGAGGTCCCGGTACAGCCAGGGGACCGGGGCTGCTTCCCGTCTCCAGGAAGGCAGGGGGAGGATGGGGTCGATGGGGGCCACTGTGTCCGGGTCTGCCTGGCTGGTGGGGAGGGGTCCCAGGCACCGTGCGGAGTGCCAGCCTGGTGCTGGGAGATGCCAGCGCCGCCCCAAGGGGCTTGGGCCGGGGACAGCCCAGGGGGCCGGGAGCCAGAGGGGGCCGCGCTGCTGCGGCGCTTCCCGCAGCCCCATTGTCCCCGGGGCGGATGCTGCCGGCAGCACTTCCACGAATTCAGCCCGGGCAGACGGCACAGGGGAGGCACAGCGGGGGGCACAGAGGGTGCCCCTGGGCTGGCAGATCCCCAGGCTGCTCCCCCTCCCCGTTCCTCCCCCAAGCTCTCCCCGGGGCAGTTCCTGGCTCCTCCAGGAGAGTGGCTGCTGCTGGCCCCACTGCCCTTGGGGGGAGCACCGGCTGGCCAGCACTGCCCGGAGCGGGTTGGTGGCCACCGCCTGCCGCAGCTGGGGACGCTCAAGTGGCCAGGCTGCCTGTTGTGGGTGACCTTGCAGGGACAAGGGCAGCCGGCCGTGCTGCTCTGCTGCCCTTCCAACCCTGACCCCCCTCCCCTCCCTGCCCCCCAGGGCTGTTTTCGGCTATGAGAAGCACCATGACCTCAAGCTCCTGGATTCCGGAGGTAACGGGGGAGCGACGCTGAAGGCGGGGGGAAGGGGGGTGTGCCAGGGGGTACCACTGTGCCCACACCTCCCAAACACCCTTTCCTTGTAGCCGGGGGCCCGGATGAGCTGGCTGAAAAGTTCTCCACCACCAGCATCATGTACGGGCTGTGCCGCATCCAAGACCCCGGCACCGGTGCTCACCGCATCGTCCTCATCCACTGGGTGAGCACAGGGCTTGGCCAGGGAAAGGGGGGGCCTCTGAGCATCCTACCCCTCCACCTGTGGTCCTGGGGGGCAGGGATGTGGCACAGGGTGCCAGCTTAAGCGGTGTGTTCTGGTGACAGGTCGGGGAGCAGGCACCGGAGTCCCAACGTGAGGCGTGCGCTGGGCATCTGCCCACCATCAGAGCCTTCTTCAGGGTGAGTTTATGGGGGGCATGGGACTCAGTCTTCACACCCCCCCCCCAACCCCTACCTTCAGGGAGGAGGGGGCTGGGGACTGGGTCCCATGTCCCCTCACGTCCTCCCCCATCCCGGCCAGCCCCGACCTTTGCTTGCTGTGCCGGGTGCATTCCTGGCTCTGCTGACTCAGACGCTGCCGTTCCCAGTTCCCAGCCTTGGCCGACGAGCCGGGGTTGTGGTTGGGCTCCCTGCCCTCCCCGGCCGGATCCTGTCCTTGCTTGGTGGGATCCTGCTCCCCCTCTGCTCCCATGTCCCAGCCCCCAGAGATCCAGCTGGGTCCTATATGTGGATCCGGCTCCGCATCTGGATCTGGCCCCCACATCTGGATCCGGCCCCACATCTGAAGCCGGCGAGCGCGTGCAAGGGAATGGCGCCAGGATTCCCTGGGGAGGCTGCAAATCTGTCCCGTGGGGGGGCTGTGGGTGCTCGGAGGGGGGGATGACGCCATCCCGTCTCGGCGGCAGGAGGCCAGCGTGGTGCTGAGTGCCCGCCGCGCCGAGGAGGTGACGCAGGAGGGGCTGAGCCGAGCGCTGGCCAAGCTGGCCCCCACCGCTGCCCCCGCCCTCACCAAGAGGGTTCCCCCTCCGGATGCCCAGGAGCTGGTGGTGAGTGGGGGGTCCAGGCGGGTGATGTGCCTGCGGGGATGGCGACCAGCCGGGAGGGCACCCGGTGGGGTGATGGGGCTCTCACCCACCCTTCCCAGTGCCACCTTGGGGGTCCCTGTCTTGGGGGGACCCCGGGGGTCTGGCCCTGAGATGCCAGCTCGGTCCCCACAGGGCACCAACTACCGCAAGACCAACCCGGCGCTGGAGATCCGCCGGACCAAGCGGGACTCCTTCTGGGCCCAGGCTGAGGTGAGGGGCGGGTGGGCATGGGTGATGAGTGCATCTACCATGGCGCCCACCGCCACCCCTGGGACGGGGGTTGTGGCTACTGGCTCGGGCTGGGGGCTGAGCCTGGTGGGTTGGGATCCTGGTGCCGAGCCCCATGCCAAGTCCGGCGAGGGTCCCGGTGCTGAGCGTGGTGTGGCCGCAGCGCGAGGAGGAGCAGCGCAAGGAGGAGGAGCGGCGGCGGGCACTGGAGGAGCGCAAGCGCTGGGAGCGGGAGCGGATGGAGGAGGAGAGGAGAGAGGCGGCCGAGCGGGAGCTCCGCTTCAAGGAGAAGGAGCGGATGATCGAGGAGCAGCGGTGAGGGCACACGAGCCTGGCCCCTGCATGGGTTCCCATGGTGGGACCCACAGCCCCCGGCACCCCACAGTGCCCCCGCCCCCATCATGGCTCTGACCATGGGTTCCCATGGTGGGACTCATAGCCCCCTGCACTCCCCCAGTGCCCCCAGTCCCATCAGGGCTCTGACCATGGGTTCTCATGTGGGGCTCATAGCCCCCTGCACCCTCATCTTCCCCATCCCTGTGCCCTACCCCATCCCACATGGCTCTGAACAGGAAGACCCCCAGCAGGACCCAGAGGCTCTTGTGCCCCGTGACTGTGCTCCCCACATCCCCTATACCCCCTATACATTCCCTGCCCTTGCAGGAAGGAGCAAGCGCGGCTGGAGGCGGAGGAGCGAAGGAAGGAGAAGGCGCGATGGGTGAGTGGGGTGGCTGAGTTGGAGGGCTGGGGGGGCTGGGGAGACACGTTTTGTGAATGGGGCCATCCTGGTGTCGGGCTGCCTGGCCGTGCTCTGTCCCCGCAGGAGCAGCAGCAGCGGGAGTACGAGGAGGCCATGCGGGAGCGCAGCCGGCGCAGCGAGTCCATCGAGAAGGCGGCTGTGAGTGCCGGGGGTCAAGCACCCCGTCCTGCCCTGGGTGGCCCTGGCGGTGACCCAGCGCTGCGTGGCCACGCCGTGGGACCGTGTGGCCATGCTGTTGGGGCCACCTGGCCGTGCCGTGGCCCCACTGACGGGTTTCTGGGTGCCAGCAGGAGGCGGCCGTCCTGGTCTCCCAGCGCTCGCAGAACCCACGGGATTTCTTCCGGCAGCGGGAGCGCTCAGGATCCACCTCCGGCACCCCGCTGCCCGCCCCCCTTCTCGGCACCAGGCCTGGTAGGTGTCCCCACGGTGAGGGGTGATGATGCAGGTGCTGCCTGTTGGAGGACATGGGGCAGAGGTGGGGGTCGCTGCCCCCCAGGACAGCTACTGACCCCTCCTTGTGTCCTAGGTGCCCGGCGGCCGTTCCTGCGGTACCAGCGCAGCCTGACGGAGTCGGCCTTCATCTTCCGCCAGCCGGACCCACCGCCCTCACCCGGACCCCTCCAACCCGGGGCATTCAGGGCTGCGCCCCCTCCCAGTCCCGGCCGACCCCAGCCTCCCCTCCCAACCAGTCCTATAGGGAGGGGGACCTCTCCCGGTGCCCCCACTGGGACCCCCACCAGCCCTGCAGGGACAGGGACCCCTCCCTGTGCCCCCAGCAGGACCTCCAGCAGCCCCACAGGGAGGGGGACCCCTCCTTGTGCCTCCACCAGCCCCACGGGAAGGGGGTCTTCCCCTGCTGCTAGCCCCATGGGGACAAGACCCCCTTCATGTGCCAGCATGGGGACCTCCCCCAGCCTTGTGGGTACAGGGCCCCCCCCTCTGGCCAGTCCCTTAGGGAAGGTGTCCCCCCCTCCCTGTGCCACCTGGAGTCCCCCCAGCCTGGCAGGGGCAGGGACAGGGTTCCCCCCCACCGTGCCTGGGCCAGTGCCCCTGTCCCCTGCCAGTCCCCCCAGGACGGGATGCTCCCCTGGTCCCCCTGGGTCAGGATCCCCTGACAGCACTCGTGGGGCAGAGCCCCTGCCCCCTTCCAGCACTCCAGGGCTGGGGCCCCCTAGCAGCCCCCCTTGCCAGCCTCCCCCAGGCATCGAGGAGGCCATGACTCTGCCTCCCCCCAGCTACTCTGGCACCCCCCAAGATGAGGACGTGCCACCCCTGGACAATCTCCCTCTCCCCAGCCCTCCAGCATGGGGGTCTCCAGGACTGCTGGCGGGGCCAGGTGAGGGGGTCCCAAGCCCCCGGGGGGGTTCCCCCTTGCCCGGACTGACACCTGCCCCAATGCCCCAGGCTGAGATTCCCCCCCGCAGCCCCAGCCCCCCCAGCCTGCTGCAGGATCAGACCCTTCCCCACCAGGAACCACAGCCAGGTGGGTGGCCAGAACCCCCTGTCTGGGGCTGGGGGGGTGGTCCCAGACCTCAGACTCCTGCCTGGGCGCTGAGGCTGGCATGGGTCTCAGCCTGCTTCTCTCCCCACAGGGTCTGTGGGGCAGCCGGGGCAGGAGCCAGCCCGAGGCAACTTGGGGCATAACGGCATCGGGGGCCATGAGCAGGGGGGCTGGCCAGCCCCCTGGGAGGACACCCTCCTGGGGCAGGTATGGCACCAACTGGGGCAGTGTTGGGGGTGGGATGTGGCCCACCTTGGGGCAGGGGGGGTGGGATGGCACTGAGGATGGGGAAGGATGATCTTGGGACACGGTGCCATGGTTGGGTGGGTACAGCTGGGGGACGAGAC